AAATAATATTAATAATTAAAAACCCTGTTTAAAAAACCCAAACATTTTTAGGGCCCCTCCAGGGTTTCTTAGGGATCTTACAGGATACTGAATCTTCATTAGTTTCACAGTATATCTGTCTTGGTTAATAATTAGACACTATCTTCATGGTGGTACTGATATAATATGTATGTATGTATTTATTTATTCATGGTTCTGGGGATTTAACCAAGGGGCACTTTACTACTGAGCAACATCCAGTCCTTTTTTTTATTTTGCTTGTGATCCTCCTGCCTCAGCCTCTCAAGTCACTGGGATTATAGACAAGTGCTATGGTGCCCAGCTTGAATAGTTTTTAGAAGTTTGCTAAAAGTTTAGAAATACATATCACTTTTTTTTTTTTCTTGGTACCAGGGATTGAACTCAGGGGCACTTGACCACTGAGCCCTATTTTGTATTTTATTTAGATATTTGTATTTTATTTAGGGTCTCACTGAATTGCTTAGTGCCTCGCTTTTGCTGAGGCTGAATTTGTGATCCTACTCACTCAGCCTCCTGAGCTGCTGGGGTTACAAGCCTGCGCCACCACACCCGGCTACATATCACATTTAAAAAAATATTTTTTTAGTTGTTGATGGACCTTAATTTTATTTATTTATTTATATGCAATACTAAGAAATGAACTCAGTGCCTCATACATGTTAGGCAAGAGTCTACCACTGTGCTACTACCCAAGCCCCACATCACATTTGGATAGCATTAGAAATACTTTTTGGTTGTATTTTCGTGCTGGAGAATTGAACCCAGGGCCTTGGCACACACTAAGTACCACTAAGCTATACCCCTAGCAGTTTAGTAAGAAAATTCTTTTACTTCCCCTCCCTCCCTCCCTCCCTCCCTTCCTTCCTTCCTTTTCTAATTCAACTTCCACTACGAATTTGCTGGCTTTTAAATTATAGGCAAGTATTTTAACTTCTTCAGTTTTCAAATTCCTCATCTGTAGAATGGGCTTAATATTTATTTCAAATTAGAAATGAAAATAAATAAATACTTGGTACATTTCCTGACATAAATACCCAGTAAATATGGACGATTATGATTATATTGATAGTTAAAATATTAAGCTAACACATATGGGAACTTCTGTTTCTCCATTATAACTTTCCTCATTGACTATAAGTAAAATACTGTGTAAAGTGAATTTCAAAGGAATATACAGATTAAAATTATTAAAATTAGTCAGGCACAGTGGCTTGTGCTTATAGTCTCAACTACTTAGGAGGATCACTTGAGTCCAGGAGTTCAAGACCAACCTGAACACATAGTAAGACACTGTTTCAATAAATAAATTAATAAATAAAACAAAAATAAAAAATAAAATTAATTTCAGTTTAAAAAATAATGTTTTTAGGACTTGAGATATAGTTCAGTGGCAGAGTGCTTGCTTAGCATACACAGGCCATGGGTTTGATCCCCAGCACTGAAAAATGAAAAAAAAATTATTATGAAAAGTAATAACTCTATTATAGAATATATGGAAAATAGTGAAAGCAGGAATAAAAGCATCTATAGTTTCACTAGACTTGTGCTGTATTTCCTTCTTGTACTTTTCCCCTAATGCAGGTTCTGTTTTATAAAAATATGCTTGAAATAAGCAGATCCAATTTTTTTTCAGGTAGGTTTGCAAATATAGCATTATTATAATGGAGTATTTCAAATGCATGGCAAATCTCAAATATATTTTACACAAAACTTTCAGAAAATCAAGTACAAGAAAAGTTTTATTGCTGTATATCTATCCTTATTTCAAAAATTTGTGCTTTTCAAAATTATGACTCCAGAATATATAATTTAATATTCTGCATTATTTTCTTAGATTATATCACAAGAGCTTCTGCACACTATTACATATTACTAAGACAGCATTCATAGAGACTAGAGCAGGAAACAGGAAGGCAATGGTGTGATAAATCAGATAAATCAGTGTTTTTGGTTTGCCTACAACTATAATGTAGGAAACGTAGACAAAGAAGTTAGAACTCAGAAATTCTAGCCATCTAACTAAATGTCTGTCAGTAAGAACTAAATAAATAAATAAATAAATAAGATACATATATCAGCATAATCCTAAATTCTATATATATTTAAATTTCTTCTTTAATGGGAAAGTGTTGAAATACTATTATATAGCAAAGACTTATTTATCATGATAACCTTGGGATTTTAGCTCTCAAAATTGGGTAGAGGGATATGTCTTTAAAATCTAGCAATGCAATATAAATCTTCACTGTATGGAACAAATCAAGGTCTGGTTTTGTTTAAATACTGGGGATTCAATTCAGGGGCACTCTACCACTGAGCTACATCCCCAGCCTTTTTATTTTTTATTTTGAGACAAGGTCTCACTCACTAAATTGCTAAGGCTAGCTTCAAATTTTCCACTCACCTGCCTCAGCCTCCCAAATTACTGGGATTACAGATGTGTGCCATCAAACCCGGTTTAAATACTCTTTTGTGTTGACATTCATTAATTTCAGAGCACAAGTTTTTGCTTTTAAGCTTCTTTGTAGGAACTCAAGTCATTCTAAAAAACTATGAAATATAACATACATTATGGAATAATTCACACATGCATTGCCAAATAAGGAAAAGATGGTCCAGGCATAGCAGTGCATGCCTGTAATCCCAGCTGCTCTGGAGACTGAGGCAGGAGGATCTGGAGTTCAAAGCCAGCCTCAGCAAAAGAGAGGCCCTAAGCAATTCAGTGAGGCCCCCTCTCTAAATAAAATACCAAAAGGCTGGGGATGTTGCTCAGTGGTTAAGTGCCCCTGGGTTCAATACCTGGTACCAAAAAATAAAAAAAAAAAAAGAAAGAAAGAAATTTTTATATATAAGAATGAACCTTGAAGACATTATACTAAATGAACTAGGCCAGTCATAAAAAGACATACTGTAATTCCACTTATGTGAGGTACCTAGAGAAGTTGAATTCATACAGGCTGAAAACAGAGGATGGGGGAGGAGGGCAAGGGAAATTATTGGTTTAATTAATTCATTATTATTGGGCTGGGGTTGTGGCTCAGCAGTAGAGTGCTCACCTAGCACGTGAAAGGCCCTGGGTTCGATCCTTATCATCACATAAAAATAAATAAATAAAAGTATTGTGTCCTAAGCTACAACTAAAAAATAAATATTTAAGAACAACAAAAAAATTATTATTATTTTTTTTGCAGTACTGGGGATTGAACCCAGGGTCTAGTACATGCTAGGCAAGTACCATTTTTTTTTAAATTTTATTTTTGGAGGTGCTGGGGATTAAACCCAGGACCTTAGACAGCTAGGCAAGTGTTCTACCATTGAGTTACACCCCAGCCCCATTTTTACCTTGTTTTGAGACAGGGTCTCACTAAATTGCCTAGAATTGTTGTTGTTGTTGTTGTTACCAGGATTGAAACAGGGGCACCCCCCCCCTTTTTTTTTTAATTTAGAGGCAGGGTCTCTGAGTTGCTTAGGGCCTGGCTAAATTGCTTTAGGCTGGCTTTGAACTTGCAATCCTCCTGCCTCAGCCTCCCCAGCGGCTGGGATTATAGGTTTGGGCCACTGCCCTGGGCTGATCTTGAATTTGCAATTCTCCAGCCTCAACCTCCAGAGTAACTGGGATTACAGGAGTATGCCACCATGCCATGCAGACTTATTGTTAAATGGGTATGATATTAATGGATACTTCTGTTTTATAAGATGAAAAAGTTCTGGAAATGGACGTAATGGTTATACAACAATGTGAATGTTGCAGTTCAGAGGCTAATGTCCCCGAACTGCATACTTAAAAATGGTTAAGATGGTAAATTTTGTTATGTATATTTTTATCATAATTTTAAAAAGTTCCCAATATTACATACACTGAGAAAAGTGTATTATGTATGCTCACTTTAAAAAAATAATTACAAAGCAAATATATGTGTAATCACCACCTAGCTCAAGAAATAATATATTATTCGAGAATACTAGTGTCCCTCATCAAACCTCTTTCTTCCTGAATAAACACTACCATGACTCTTAACATTGACTTTTAAAAATCAAGACTGTTATGTGATAATGCAGCTTAAGTTAGATCAAGGGTACAAAACGGAACAAAAGTATTTCTTTAATTTAAAATATTTAAATTAATTTAAATATTCTCTATAAATGCAAAAACAAAAACAAAAAGAACCTTAAAAACTTTAAAGCACTCTTTCTCTCCTTTACTCTTGAAACTCTTCTAAGCCCTATTTTGGTTCCACAGTTGACCTCACCTGCAGAGTTTAATTAAAAAAAAATCTTTAGTGTAGATTTTCATTCTTCTCTTTCTCCCTTGCCTCCAACTACAAAGAAACAATGATTTAAACCCTTTGTGCCCTTTTAGAAAATTACACAGATACCCCATTGTGGAACCCTATAATCCCTTCGTGGAAAGGAAGAGATTAGCATATGAATACAAAGCAAAATGAATCCAGAATACAAAATGATCTACTGAATTGTGAAGCTCTTGTATTCTTAAAAATGTATTTATTTCCTTTTTTTGTATTGCCCCTTTAGTGGTCTCAGGGTTAAGGGAACTGAGCTTCCCCTCTGGTTACCCGGAAAAGGATTAAAAAAAAAAAAAAGCCAACAGATTCTAGGAGGTGCAAAACCAACAGATGGCTCCCAGCGCCAGTGGAATCTGCTACACTCGACAGGAGCTTGCTTGCCGGCGAGAGTGTAGAAAGTGCTGTTCGCAGACTGCGTGGTGAAGGAGAGAAAGCGACAGAAGAGAGAGCCATAGTGCTGACGTTGAAGGCCCGGCCCTGTGAGGTTGCACAGGGTAAGTGGCGTTGGCCAGGAGGCAGTGGCTAAGGGGAAGGAAAGAGGATTTGGGCTAGGGGCGGGGCCTGCGGCACAGCGTGGCTCCTGATTGCTGGAGCGCAGCTGCCAATCTCGCAGAATCGCTCGGTTAACCAGTGCGCTGGCGAGACGCGCTCAGATATACTGAGCGAGCTCTGAGAAGCAGCCTCAGATCCTGACGGTGCAGCAGCCCGCAGCCTCAGCCAGGGAGTCCCAGCCGCTTTCAATGGAGGAGAAGCCCGGCCAGCCACAGCCTCAGCACCATCACAGTCACCACCATCCGCACCATCATCCTCAGCAGCAGCAGCAGCAGCAGCCGCACCACCACCACCATTATTATTTCTACAACCACAGCCACAACCATCACCACCACCACCATCACCAGCAGCCTCACCAATACCTGCAGCATGGAGCCGAGGGCAGCCCCAAGGCCCAGCCAAAGCCTCTGAAACATGAGCAGAAACACACCCTCCAGCAGCACCAGGAAACGCCGAAGAAGAAAACAGGTCTGGGAGGGAGGACGGGTGGGGGAAGGGGGTTGGGGGTGGGGGACGGGGGGGTTGGGGGTGGGGCTAGATCTGAAAAGCGCGGACGGGGTCGGGGTGTGTGTGTGTTTCCTCGGGGTCTGGGGATGCCCCGTTTCATTCTCCCGAAGCTCGGGCAGGGCGGAGGGGCTTGCAGCACCTTCTCATTCTCTTAGGCATGGGAGAGGCCCAACCAGGCCAGCGTGACCTTCCCGGCCCCCGCCCCGGCTGAAGGGAGACCCGCAGGGTCGGCCTTGATGATCCAGCCTTATTCCTTTCCCGTTCACCTTTCTGTGGCCCTGAGTTACCTTAATTTGGGAGTCCTGAAATGGGGTGAACCTACCCCCCTAAAAATCCCCTGGAGGTGTAACTCAGGAAGGCCTAGCGAATCCCGACCCGGGTAGTGTCGCGAGGCCCTGTTGCTGGCGGCGAGGAGTGGGTAGGTGGACTGAGTTAAGGAAGCGTCCTCACCCGCCACCCCAAGCCCACCTGTGGCCTTGGGGTTCCCCCCGTCGTGGGGGGTGACTGGGACCCCTGGTCTCTGGGGTCACTTCCACTCCTAAATGCCCTTTTTGGGTGCCGGACCCCGCAGTCCGGCCCCGCGGCTCCTCCCGAGGCCGGCGCCCCGGGCCCGCTCCCCCCAGAGCCGGCGCGGCTGGAATGTTCTCTCCTCCTCGCGGGGCCGCTTCCTGTCCGCCATGTTGGAAGCCGATTCCTGTCACCGACTCCGGCCCACTGAGGAGCGGAGGGGAAAGGGTGTAGAGGGGCACGCGGCGTGGCGGAGCCAGCGACCCGGGAACCCCACGGGCCATCGCCTATCCCCCAGCATTTCGGGGGCACCGTCGCCCCCGGTCCCTAGGCCGCCCCTCCCCCCGGCGCCGGCCGGGTTGTGTAACCCGGTGGCGGCCGCGCGGCCCCGGGCGGGTCCCTGGGGTGAGGGGCGGGGGCGGTTGGGGTGGGGGAGGGAAGCGGCCACGAGGGGAGCGGCCTGTGCCGAGCCCCGCGCGCCTGCGGCCGCGTTTCCCGCTCCCGGGTTCGGCGGGAGGCGCGGGCGGTCGGGGCGGGGAGCCGGACTAGGAGCGTAGTGAGGGGAAGGAGGCCCCGGGCGGCGGCCGCGGAGATCCTTTGGGCAGGAGGGCCGGGGGATTCATTTTGGSTTGAGGCGGTGCCTCTGGCCGGGTGGGGTACCCAGCGGGAACCAAGCTCCCCGGTCACGAGTTTCTCTGCCACAGGAACCTCGTCTCCTGCCAGGTTCGCTCACGACTCCGCCTCTGAGGCTTTCACTTGGGCCTTTTCTTTCGAGCGGCTCATTTTCTACCAAAAGGGGGGTTAAAACCCCCAAACCGTATTCCATCCGTCTCCCCACCCAATATTTAACCTTCTGGGCTGGGGCAGTGTCTTTAAGGGGAGGGATTAAACAAATGTTTGATTGGATACGGAAGACGGGCAGTTTTTTTGACCCCTTTCTTGTCCTTAAGGGTGAACTGAAGTGGCTCCTCCATGAGGTTGGATCCACTACCATTTTGCCTCAGATGAGTCTTTTTCCATGATAACATGAAAGATGTTTTTCGCATTTTAGAACCGATATTGATTCCCAATTGATTTTTGAGGGAAAAAGTCATTTGGTGAGATGAAATAAGCTTTAAAGTTTATAATCAAGCACAATTTTTTTAATATGGGTTCTTCATAAATTGAGATATGAAGGCTAGAGAGCGCATGTTAAATCCAGCATGTCAAATTTAATACCAGCAATTATTGAGAGCTGGAGAAAAACTAACAAGCTTTTCTGTTGCAGATGTGCTGTAACTTGAAGATTGAAATTGGCATATCAGATTTTCCATTTTTAGGGGGTGGTGAACCTAAGGTGTTTAGTAGAGGACACACAGATCTATAAGAGTTTAAGAATTTGGAGCAGTTTAAATTGTTAGGAACTATATAATACTGGTTCTTTTTAACATTAGATTTTTCAAAAGATGAAAAGTATTACCTCATTACCTGATTGCTTGGAATATGTAAGGCAGTATTACTATTTGGGTTTTAAATTGTGTTTTACCAGTCAGGTTATTAACGCAGAGCTCCTCTCTATCAGTAGAAGCAGCCCCTGATCTGTTCAAGGTGGCATTCTTCAATGTCTTATCCTGGAATAAAGAATAAGAAGGGAAACAGCTTAGCAATTTTGAGAGAATGTGAACAATTTGGGGTGAGCATTAATGTGCTGCCTAGTCACACAGTACTGTTGATTCAGAGTGTGCAATGCTAATAACTAAGAAAACATTGGGTTATTTTTCAAACGTTATCTGTAATTTCTTGAGGTGGGATTTTATGACCCATTACCCGCAAACCTATAAAAAGGAATCATTTTTCTTTATCCAGAAGAGGGCGCAAGAGAAGACCAAACGTGTTGAGTAATTTCAGTTTCTAATCCAAACACTAGATGTATCAGAATTTAGTTTTGCTGAGTCTATTTGAAGTAGGGGTCACATGGCATCCCTAAACCAGGAGTCTTTTAATTTCTTTCAGTAATTTAATGTTTACATTTTTCTTAAAGACCTAAGCTTTAAAAATAAAATGCCTCTCTGGCATACTTTTATACAATACCCACAAAGTTGCCATGGGAACATTTTTTATGTAGTTAAGTAAATGAGTTTTTTGTCTTTCTTTTGGATCTTAAAACTTCTGGGTGGGGGCTGGGAATGTAGCTCTTTAGTACAGCTCTTGACTGGTACATATGGGGCCCTGGGTTGTATCCCAAGCACAGAAAAAGTAAAGAAGTTTGGGGTTCAGTACAGTGACTAAGCTATTTTTTATTGGCGATTTCTGGTATTTTTCTGATATTTAAGTCCATAGATAGTAAACTTAGTTCACTAGAATCTTTGCTTTCATTCAGTGCAGTTTGGACATTGGATTTTATTTTAATTTTTTATTTTTGTATTTAAGACTGCTTATCATAAATTGGAATTTGAAAAGTTATCACTAATGGGCCATTTGTTTAACCTGTTTGCATAGTTAGTGATGTGGGTCATTCTTGTCTTTGGTCCAGAGTTATACAGGAGTATAGTTCTATCTGTTAAAAACATCCTTTTAGAACTTTGTGATTTCCTAAAGAAAACCTTTTAGAAAACATCCTAAAATACAATGATCTCTTCCTTTTTGTTATATAGTTTAGAAGTTTTCCACCAAATTTTTTTGATTGGCTGTAGGATAGCCGAATAATGGAAATGTAATACTGCAGAAGTTAAGAACTTTTATGAAATGTATTCTCATGGTACAAATTTTATACCACTATTTTTAAAATGATGATAACCTTGAATTATTTTCTGGCAGTTTATATAATAGAAGACAATGTTTATTCATTTTCAATATTTCCATCTTTTTCTCTGAAGTTTTAGTGAACTCTTTGTGAATCTTTCCCAACTGTTCTATATCATGTTTTAAACATAATGGTTCTCAGGCTCAAAAAGATTTTAATTTCCCCTTATTATTTATCTTAAAGCTGAGGGCCTCAAAGAGTTTTTGATGTGGTTTATATTGATCAGTATTTACCATGTAGGAAATTAAAACAAATTTTGAAAGAGAAAAATATTATACAAACTCGCATGCTTTTCAGCTTTCATAGGTAGGCCAGGGGTTTTAACACCATGAATGAAAGTAATTAAAAACAAATAATTTTTATTCATATTGGATCTCCACCCTGAAAAACTTCCATAAATGGATGTGTGTGTATTCTCCTGCATATCTGTTTCTAATGGCTTACTTGACCCCAGGATATGTTTTGTAAACTTTTAAAAGGAAGGTAGATAACTAATATCACTATTAGTATACTGGTAAGAGAGTAGAAAAAGTTGTTAACCCAATTGAATCACCTATAATCATAGAGTTAACTTTTGGGTGGTTGAAGGCTTTCGTTATATCTAATATCTAATTAACATAACACTTGAAAATTAGATTTCTTTGGTTGAAGTTTTGTTAGTAAATATTTCATTTCTTGAGTAGGCAGTGTTGCATAGTGGTAGGAAACTGTGGGTTCCAGACTGGAGTTCAGATTTCCAGTTCTGCCACTTTGTGACCTGGGTAAGTTACTTCATCTCTGTGAGAATTTGTTTGTCCAAATGAAAAATAAAGAAAACATGGGTTAGAAGAGTTAGAAACATTGGTATACAGGTGTGTTTTTTTTTTAATGTATCGTATGATCTAATGTCAAAATGAATTTGACTATTAGAAAAAGTTTGTAAGTGTTACAGCTTCTCTGATAGATGCAATGGATACTACTTGGTGACCACTGACCACTCAGGATTTCATAGAAATTAAATCTTGTTTCCTATTCCCCCACCCCTTTGTTTTGCTGTGTTCAGGGGCTCAAGTATGGAACTCGTAGCCCTAATTTCCTTTTAATGTTGTTAAATCAATAAAACTTGGTTTTTGCCCAGAGGGTAGATCTACTCTTAATTGTAAGGAAAATTTACAGTGGTTTGTGAGGATGATGGGCAAGTTAATTCTTAGATTGAGGGGTGTTGTGGCATACTTAAGAGGTAGTCGTGTTCTCTCAGATACTGTGGATTTTGGTTTGAAGCATGGCTTAGTTCTGCCTCTGCTTAACAGTAGATTGCATTTTTTAATTTGTAAAGTGGAACTTACAAGTGTCTTTTTGGGGAGATATGAAGTAATAACAAACTTACAACTAAGCATAGTATCTAGTGCACAGTAAATAGCCCTTATGTGTTAGATGCCACTTAATTTAAATGTTGTGATTTTTTTAAGTCTTTTTTTTTTTCTCTCCCTTAGGCTATGGTGAAATAAATGGTAATGCTGGAGAAAGAGAAATATCTTTAAAGAGCCTGGGTTCTGATGAAGCTACCAACCCTATTTCCAGGGTCCTCAATGGCAACCAGCAAGTTGTAGAC